CCACATATCCCTTGTCGGTATATGAGCAGAGAAAAAGTCACCACGAGCAACCGCTGCGACGTAGTGATCCAAGTTTTCATGGATGCAGTTGAAGGAATTGAAAATTTTGGCGCGTCTATATACTCAGCTTCCCTAAGAGCACTTCGCAGCAATGCCCTTGCCGGTAATGTCCACAGGTGTAAAATGGCATTAAGTGATATTCTTGGTGTGATCCGCTATACAGCGGAAATGCCGATAAAAGCGGCTCTTTGGATACGTTCAACTTCTTAGCGATTGTAACCTTTGATGAGAGTCCCCACCTTTTCCCTATAGCTTCTCTAGAGCAATATAAGGCAACCGATGCTTTTTTTACTCTCTCTTTAATAATTGGTCTCCATGAAAACTGTCTGAAAAAAGTAGGATTGAATTTGAGCCTTCTCTAACATAAAAATTCGTAGATCTTTGCACCAAAAAGCTGTATCAGTTGCCCTCGATCATGTGACCAAGTATGCATTTCCAAGAGTATTTCGCATAAAAGGCCATATTATTAACATTACAACCTTTGCCAAATATCAAAATTGTTCCAGTTTAAAACCATAAATATTTTCCGCTTGTTAAACTCTAACAAGGGCAAAAACCGAAGTTTATTCCGTTTGATATTGGAGCAACGATACTTTTACACTAAGAATTAATGAACAAGACGCTGAAGTCAGGTATACGAATCACTCTAAAAATTAACTATTTACATAGTTGAGCTCGCGAATGCTTCACGTATTCTCAGTCGCAGTAGTTAAGAGAACATGCGCAATCTGACCTTTGAAATTTCTCCTTTGTTTGACAATACTCTAGAACTTTGTAGGAACAGTTATAGTTCAGAGGGACACAGACAGTCTAGCGTCTTAACTGTAAAAATATAACAGAGCTGCTAAAAAGCCTAAATCTGGGCCTCGACATTTATAGTCGAAACGACTGAACGCGAAATACGATCACGATTCTAGCCGTATAAGCTACAGTTTTTTTTCATAGCAAACTTTTTTCTCTCTAGCATTCATAGTTGAAAGCATATCGAGATTTCGTGCTTTCGTAATTTTATTATAGGGTTATAGAATATTACAATAGTTGTTACACAATTTCGCAAGCATAAAAAAAAATCGGCTTTTTAGCGCCTATTGCCACTCTCGCTTTTTATCTTTTCCAAAAAACTGTTTACAACCCGTTGAAGATCCCTCTAAATGTGCAGATATGTAACTGTATAATTGTATATTCGACTCGTCACATCACTGCTAGCCTACAAATGTGTAAACAAAGCGTAAACGTGTAGGAATTGTAAATATTTGCATACAGTTTTCTGTTTGTGTTGTTTTTGTTTGATTTTACTTTTCTTTCTTTTTCAACATTTCAATGAATGAATGAACTCATCGCGGCATTGTTTGGTTAGTAGCAGAACGCCTGCAACTCAAGCCCGGCTAAGTGAAGTCAAGTCGACACAAACAAGCCAAACACCCTCATACACGTACATTCATATATATACCATATACAAACAGGCTTATACATACATATAAGTGCAGGAAGTTTACGCTGATGCCAATTCGCTCGCTCACGCATACCTACATACAAGTACAAACTTGCTCAATCATGCACCGCCAAGCTTTGCAATCTCATAGTCGGCCATTCTTGACACTCTGCAGGAAGCTGTCGCACACAATTGCACACATACCATCCATAGTACCGTTATTGCTGTGCCTCATAATTACATACACACATACTTACATATGTTTGTAAGTATATGCAACGAACTTTCTTCGTTAAATTTCATCGTCAAACGCGTTGATTGTAGCGTGAATGTTCTCACGCTTTTGGCGCATGTGTTTGTGTGTGTGAGTGCGCTGACTCTGCTCGTGGTGATTTCTGCTCATCTGTGATTACAGATCGGTATCTCAAAAAATGAGGGAAGAGTTTAGGTTATACAGACATACAGACGGACATGGTTAAATTGACTAAGCGTCATGCTGATCATTTATATATAATATATATATACATTTTATAGTCTATATGATATAAAAAGTAAAATTTGTTAAGAGAAGAGTGGTGTAAAGCTTTTCTATCTTATATGCCGCACAAGATATCTCTCCTCTTTTCGTTTTCGTTTTTCTTAAGTTAAATACTTAGTGCTCTGCAACTCTGCTCGGCTATTGTGATCCCTAATTTGTATCATAACCAGTTTTCTCACTCGATGCAAAAATTCGATCGAGCAAAATTTAATAGACTTTAGATGCGTACCGTGTAGTGGATTCGGCAGTATTAGTCGCGATCCCGACAAAAATTAATGTAGTTGTTCAAAGAGATTATATGAACGATGCACAATCGACTGACCTCGGATTCTTCAATTGGTAACCGAAAAAATCAGTTTTTTATCTTCGAATACTGTTAAGTACTATACATATGTATATAGCAGTTCCGTAGCTATCAGCGTTTATAAAATTTACGCTCGAGGCCCGTATCGAAATTCTGCCAATTCTTGAGCTTTATGCTTAATAGCTTTCGAACAATGTAAACGCATTTAGGGTGGCGAAAGTAAGGTATAAAGTCAACCAAAAATTTTCAAAACTTTGTGTTAGGTATATTGGGGCTACTTCCTGTATTGATCCGATTTTATAAATTTTTGACACAAACCATATAATTATCAGTTATGGTATCTATCTGAATTTTAAAAATATATCCCACAGATTGACCGATACTTTCGGTAAAAAGTCAGCAATATGCACATATCGATATTTGGGGGTTTGAAGAGTTATAGTCCGATTTAAACAAATTTTAGAAATGAGATGAGATATCTTAAGTGCACTAATTATACAAGGTTATGTTTCACTAACTTTATCCGTTCCCTATTTATATAGTCTAAAGTGATATATGGAAAGTAGGCTTGGTTGTTTTCCGATTTCGCCCATTTTCACAGTATAACATGCAAATGTAAGTATAACATTATCCACCAAATTTAGTTGAAATGGATCGAGTAGTTCGAGAGGTATAGAATTTTACCTAAGAGTGGCCGGTGCATGCCCGTTGCCCAATTTTTACACCGATTCCTAAATTTTATGATTTTTAGGAATTTAGTTAGTGAGTGTACATTTAACTGTTTTATATTTCTTCAATTATCGGCATTTTGTGGGCGTGGTAATGATCTGTTTTTGACCATCTTCAAAACCAAACATTCAGATAATGCCAAGGAACAAGTGTACCATGCTTCATTAATATATGTTAATTTTTACTACAGACGGTCGGATGGACAGTCAAACAACTGGAATCCAAGACATCTAGTTATCCTGTTCCAATTGGTAGATATATATGTCTATTGTTTATAGATTTTGCAAGATATGGAGAAGTATAGAAGCGTTGTGAGCGCTCCATTCACCTAAGTATGTCATATACACATGACAATATGTACTCTACCGTACTACTACGCTCTTACTAACGGAAGCGCATATGATCGAATAGGTCACCCGACCAAGTGAAATGTTACGCCGGTTTTGTTTTTGCATATAAATTTATTACTCAACCACTGCTGCAGCCTGTGGATTAAAGAAAAACCAACAAAAAATACCCGTTAATTGCTCAGATCACATAAGCCGTCATATTTGCTTATGTATTTGCTAAAATACGTCTCACATTATTTTGACGTTTCAAATTAAATAGTTTACTGCTGTTCCCGCTGTTACCAATGGCGCTGGTGGCTTTTATTACTTTGCCACTTTCAATGAAATACAATTGAATTTTGTATATAATATGGTGCCAGGGCTTTTAATTATACTTGGTATATATATTAACACAGGGTTATGTGTTATGTATTGTACTTTTGAAATTTAACGGTGATTTAATACATATGGAATTGTTATATAATTTCTTTTTGATTATTATTCATTGGCTAATCTAGGTATGCCCTGGTATTGTGACTCAGAAATTACATCATAAAATGGTCGACTGGAAAATTCTTGAAGAATTCTTATACTTACATATATTTTCATATATGTATATTTATATTATGTTATATATATATATATGTATTTCTCTTTCGAAATATATTATTATATATAAATAATAGTTATGCGCAAAGTCTTAACTGTTTAAAATTGACAATCAAGCCTGACAGCTGTCAAAATACCCTCTGTACTCTCGAAATCTCAAAATGACTGAGCACTTATTTAAATTCCAACTCCGTTATTTATGTGCGTATTTGATTTCTGTTTCTGTGTTTTGTTTGTGTACTTTTCAAAGCAATACAAACATATTTGTGGATAGGTTCAATCGTAGAGCTGAAAGTTTCATTAGAATTTAATTACACGAATGCCGGCGAAAGTGAGAGAAACCAATTGAAACAATTTAGTTGGGAAATACTCGTGACTGCAGCGCGTTCAACTGGAGCAATGAGTGAGCTGTTTAAGCAAATAAACCAAATTCAATGAAATAAAATAATAAGCAAACATACAAACAACAACAAACATGTATAGCGATAGCAGTAGTTTATACACTCTTTAATTGACCAAATAAATTGTGAGCGCAATGAATGTCGGAAGCGTGAAATGGAGATTACGGGAGCTAAAGTGATAAGAGTAATCGAATTGCACTGTTGAATCAATCGCTCAAATTAATTAGATTCTACTTTTAATTATTTATTTATTTAAATTTATTTTTTTGAAGAGAAGATAGCAAGATAATAGTAGTTGTGTGCGATTGCTAGATTTCTTCGAAATAAATTGATTAAACTTGATTAAGTAGATTGAAGCAATTCAATAACATTTATATAGTGACGGTGAGTTACTTTACGAGCAATCTAATAAAGGGCGTTTTTCTTGTCAATTGGTTTTCTAAAGGAAATAAAATACATGCATTATAAACATAAATGTTTGTCATTATGTTTTAAAAATGATTTTGGGTAAATGACCGCCACAGCTGGCTCAAATAAAATCCGGCCGAGAAGCCCAATTTTCGACCACTTTTTGTAGCAATTGGCACCGTATGTCAGCAATAACGCTCCGAATATTCTATTCTAAGTTGGTATGCAAGCTGAGCTTTGAGCTGTAATCAATTTATAGTAGAATGTACGAAGTATATAAATCGTTTCTCTCATTTCGATTTGAAACGAGCTCACAGATACTTCGAAGAGCGCACAGTCCATTATCATTCAATATTTTAACTTTACACTGTAAGTGTTTTGTAATATGCTTCGGTTGGTTTCTTATCATCTCTGTATAGTGGAAGCTCGCTCATCTCATTTTAAATAACGCGAAATATTAACAAGACCACAGCTGATATTATTATCACAGTTTGTTTTTAATACCAGAATCACGTAAAAGTGTTAACGCTGTAATTATCTTTTAATATATTTGTGAATGAACATCATGTTTTCAACTAAATATATGTCACTGGCTAATTCCATTTACTGGCTAGCATTATTCAATTGTTTAATGAATATAAGTTTGAGCATCTCTACGTCGGTCAACGGTGAAATTATCGAAATCGAATTTAATGATCAACAACAGCGTAAGATTACCGTTGCGGGGATGTCTAATAAAAGTTGGACCGGTGAGGAGTATTATGCATTTCGTGGTATACCGTACGTGAAGCCGCCAATTCAAGAGCTAAGGTTCAAGGTAAGAGTTTTGATACGGTATGGGAATACATAGAGGGAGGCAGAGAAATTAGTAAAGATAGAAAGAGAGCGAAATTCGATACTCGGAGTTACTTAGGATCTTGTGTAGCACTTCTCCTGTGCTATCCAAACAAGGTAAAGTGAACATTCGCTCATAACATACACATTTTAATAGTTAAGAGTTTACTTTAAGCTCTGCTTTGACAGTTATTCTGCTAGAATATTTTATACATCCAAAATAAAAAACAAAAATTCTACCTAACGCTAGTAACATAATTAATCACTCTAAATTAATTCTAGGATCCACAACCACTTGATGAATTACCCAGCTACATCGATGCACGTTACGATGGACACGATTGTCCGTCTATTTACGCCACAAATGCCTCAGAGCATTGCCTCATACTCAATATTTATACGCCAACCGTAAGTTTCATTCACGCAGTTCCTAAGTTCAACTTAATAAATTTCATCTTGCAGAACATTGAAACCGCTAAATTGCCAGTACTTGTTTTCATACATCCCGGTGGTCTGTATATTGGCTCATCGCTGAGTACATTTATCAATCCCGTTTATTTACTTGCCAAACCCATTGTGTTGGTAACATTCAATTATCGTTTGGGTACGCTCGGTTTCCTGCAACTTGGCACCCGTGAAATACCTGGCAATGCCGGATTCAAGGATCAAGTGCACGCAATGCGTTGGGTACAGAAATATATTAGACATTTTGGTGGCAACCCTGAAGACGTCACTCTTATGGGTTATAGCGCTGGTGCTCTGAGTGTACATTTACATTTGGTGTCACGCATGTCGCGTGGACTTTTTCATAAAGCCATTATAATGAGCGGCTCACTGCCACCGCAGACAGTGTTGCCACAGCATTCACAATTGGATTTGCTGCGTAAACAAGCGCGTGTACTTAATTGCACTGAAGTAGTGGCTGAAGCGCAATTATTAAATTGTTTACAAAAATTTAACGGTAATGAAATCGCTGCAACACTACGTAGTCTTTTCGTCTTCGGCAAGGATAATCCGATTTACATATATTTACCGGTGGTTGAATATGATTTTGGGCAGGAGCGTTTTTTAACTGAAAATCCATTTGAAAGTCTAAAACGTGGTGAATTTTCGAAGGTACCTATACTAATAGGTTTTACCAGCGGTGAATTTTGTCAATCAGCGGTGGATATTTTCAAAGATTCGAAACTGGAACGGCGGTTTTATGAAGATTTTCAAAAATTGGCGCCCGAAATATTTATGTACGCTTGTCATAATGGAAATTTGAGTGTGATTAACGAAAGATTGCAGCAGTATTATTTGCCAAATTTTAAGGAACTGGATCATACGAATTTGGCGCATTTGTGTGACTTCTTCTCGGATGCGATTATTCGCTTTGGTGTGCAACGTTTAACCGAATTAGCTGCTCCATATACTAAAGTATTTCCTTACAGCTTTGAATTTAGAAGCGAATTTAGCAATTTGGACTATCTTCTACGACCGGGTAAGTAGTATTTACATTTGCAAACCCGACTCTAACAAACAAAGAGGTTTTAAGTAGGTGATGTATAGCAGTTGATTTGAGAAGGAGACAATGCTCTTCTCTTAAATCGTTAATAGTTATGAATCCGCTATCTGTACATACTATTGGAGTCAGAAACTTGTTAGAGTTTCAAAAAGTGCCAACCCAAAGTTACTATGTAGTATAACTTTAACTTAAGTTAAGTTTCTCTGAAAAGGTCTGAGCCAAACTGAGTGAAAGCAATCTATGTCATTCCGTCCTCACCTTCACCTTCATCTCGCCACTTATGTATATTACTTTCTTCTTCTTGTTTTAGTCTCCAATATATTTATTAACATTTAATTTACATAATTTTAGCGCGTGTCGAACACATGGATGATTTAATGTATTTATTTGAAATGAATGCTAGCGGTTTTAAGCGGAACTATTCTAACACTGCATCTATGATTCGACAGTATACGAAATTCATATATGAATTTGTAATATCTGGGTGAGCTTTAGAATTATAGTGTGCTCTAACAGCACGAACTTTCACAAAATTAAAACACTTTTTTTCAATTTCTAGTTCATCACTGTTTGGCAAGCTCCCAACTTACCCTGCAGGATATACAAAAATATGCCGTTCATTGGAATTCCAGCCGGGCACTAATTTTGCAAAAGATATCTATGAAATGTGGAAAAGCTTGTTTCATTTAGATTATAACAGTAAATGAAATGTTGAAAGGTTACCTGGTAACACCTTATCGTATTGAAAACTTATTATACCCAGAACAGGGTATATTAAGTTTGCCGCGAAGTTTGTAACACCTAGTAGGAAACATCAGAAACTATATAATAATATATATGTAAATGATCAGTATGACGAGCTGAGTCGACTTAGTCATGTCTGTCTGCCCGTCTCTCTGTATATATGCGAACTACTGAAACTTTGCATACGTCCATTTTTCTCCAAGAACGATATTGTCGGAATCGCCGATATCAGACCACTATAGCATATATCTGCCATAAAAACTGAACGATCGGAGCTGGTATGGAAAACTTTCTCATTTGATAATATATCTTCAAGAAATTGGGTACGAACTATTATTCAAGGCAACGGGTTAATATCCGAAGAAATTGTTTAGATCGGCCCGTTATACGTTATAGCATATACATAGCTGTCATACAAACTGATCGATCAAAATCTAGTCTTTGTATGGAAACTTTTATATACGTGAAGGTTATTATCGCTTCGGTGCAAATGAAGTTAACGTTTTTTGTTGTATTATACTCATTTTACTCATTCAAATTGAAGTCAGCAACGCGCTTGCATAATTGAATTACCTCACTTTGCTCAGTCCATTGCCAGCAAAATGAACTCTGACGCTGGAGGTGGAGATTAAACCAATACATATGTATATGCTTTCATATGTATGTGCTACCTAACGGCTATTTAAAGCTGCCCCGTGCAAATGTATGTATGTATGGCTGTATTTACAGGTGTCTGCGTGCACTTCATTTAATTCTGAGTTGCTTAATTGAATTGAGCACTGCAGGTGATTAATTGAGCAAAACGATTGGGGATTTCAAGAGCTTTAAACGTTGAATTGTGTAACTGGCGAAAAGTGTATCGAAATAAATACATATATATATATTTTTTTTTTTTTTGATTCTATGATAATTTAATAAATAATTAGTAATATTGGGAGCAAATGCATTCTTATAATTTTCATTATGGAAAAATTAAATATTCGGCCTGAAGATTGATGAACCTATTTGTCAAATTTTTTAGGGTTCAACTTCCGTGTACGCATAATGTATGTTATGTAGCAAATTCATTACTTAGAAAAAATAATCCAAATTTGATCGAACTTCTTCTGCCTTTAGACATATGCCATAGTGTTTTACAAATAATGGCGAAAAGTTTCTGAAAATTGGCTAATATCAAAGGTTCTTTTGGCGGCTTATAGGTTCATATTAAATCAATAGCTAAATGTATGCCGATTGGAAAAACTGCATTTAGTTGAAATAAAAATTTTAAATAAATTATGCCAACCATCAGAATGAATTAATTTAGCCATTTTATTGTCACTTTTAATCTGTTAAATGTGAAAACTAATTTTTTTCACACTTGCACGCGGTTTCGCTTAACATTAGCGCAAAATTCATTTAAAATGCTCTCTCTGAGCGCGCAAAACGACCGCAAAATGAGCAGCTACGCAAAAGGCAGCCAAAAGTGAAAAAAATATATATATACATATACGAGGTGTATTCAAAAAATAACGAGAATTTTGGTTTTGTGAAAAAAAAATATTATTCATTTGTCTACATTAATGTTGTCGCCTTCAAAATAGTCTCCATTCGATAATATGAACTCATGCCAGCGCTTCTTCCAATCGTCGTAACATTTCTCAAATTCGATTTCGGGTATAGCCTTTAGCTCTTTCAGCGATGCGTTTTTAATGTCTTCTACTCGTATATAATATATAAGGTTAGGCCAAAAACAAAAACTTGTATTTTTTCTAAGATACCATGAAAATTTTGCACGAAATGTCGAAAAAAATTCTGTTAAATTTTTGCCTTAAAATAATCAAATTTTAAACGTTAATATATTTTAAACGGTTAGGTTTACGTAAAAAATGGTAAGCGACCATTTTGTTTTCTCGTTTCATAGCTTGTGTAATAAATTGAATATACAAAAGCTATGAAACAAGACAGTTTTAAGTAGTTGAAAGCGTGTCATGAATTTTTATATTTGATAATGATAAAAAAATTGAAAACTGTAAGGCGGAGGACCTTCCCGTTACAATTAATATCTCATACTTGGAGAGACTTTCTTAGAGGTGGTTATCAATCAATTTTTAGAGTACTAAGCCAAAACAAAAATACTGTTTTTTTTACCCACCCTAATATATATAGGTAGTAAGTTAGTAAGTAAATCCCTTTGCGCATAGCACATTGCATACATTTATTGCCAGCATGCAACAAAAGTCAACGACGCGAAATGCCATGTCATGCCAGTTCCGTTGCCCAAGCCAGTGCCATTGCCAATGCCCTTAGCTGTTGGCAATGGCTGAGGTAGTGGTTGCGGTTGTGATTGCGGTTGCAATAGCTGCGAGCACAGAGCTGCTGTTGAGAGAGTCAGCCAAAAGTGGCACAACCTGCTGCACAGCCCTTTCTGCCCACTGCCGCATTGCATTTGCTGTCGCGTGAAGTATATCCATTAAATAGCAAAAACAAAGTGAAGAAAAAATGTGTGGTTTGAAGCGCAAAGAGATGAATTTGTAAAATTCACGCATAGCAAATACAAAATGCACGACTTGTATAAAGACTAGGTGTGTGTTTAAGTGTATAGGTGTGTAGCGGAAATACAGATGTTGCAATGCACACACACTGCTCTTCTCAGACATTTGTGTAAACATGCCTTTAGTGGCACTCACTTTTATTGTCGCAACGTCACAATGTGAACAGCAGGCGAATTATGAACAACAGCAAAAAAAAAAGAAAAAAGCAGAAAAACAACAACAATAACAAGCATACAAAATGAAGAAGCAACCACAAAATAAATACAGCACTTAGTACAGTACATATGTTTTTACGCATACACACATGCATATGCATAAATACGCATGTACTTAATGGCCATAAAGACATTCGCACTCGGTTGGCTAAGCCTTATAGTCGGCCTTCTGGTGCGTCAGCGGGCATGCAAGTTCAACAATGAGTTCAAGGTGAACCCCTGTCTGTCTATCTGCCCAACAGTACACACACTAGCGTCCCGATAGTGTCTCATTTGTGCACACAACTTGCCATGCAAGTACATACATATGTACATCAGGCTGTCGCATCTTTCAAAAAATCTTCACTGTCCTTACTCAACCGTAGTTTTTACTTTTTCCGTTTATTTGTCTACTTTTGGTACTTTTCGCACGGTGTTCTTGTTCATTATTTGCAGATTTTCATTTGTGTATACTTTTGCTGGAGCACAGCGTAAACTTTCCCTACTTTACACGAGGGATATGCACCGATTTTTGCTCTTTGACTTGTAAAACTTTGTTGTTGCTTTGAAGAATTGCTCCCGTATTTTACGATGATTAACTTAAGAACTTTTTTTTATAGAGCCCTGGTAGAGTTATGTAGAACTATTTGGTCTCATGTCTTACCTATAAGATCTTATACACACTCTCTCAAAAATCTCATTTAGTGTTTCAATCGTCCATAAAATGAAACATTTCTTTAATATATAATGAAAAGAAATAAATTCGGACCAATATCTAGAACTGGGGAAGCATACCAAAGTTAAGTCAAGAGAGACTTCTACATTACAGACTTCAAATTTCGCTCAAGTCACCACTGAATCTTCAGATTTCGAAATATTGCAGACCTAGATCTATACAGTAGTAAAGTATTAACTATACTTTTTTTTAATCTTTGTGATCTAGATAGATCCCTACCCAAACTGGTGACGGATATTGAAAAGTAAAGCCAGAGAGCTTAATCCTCTATTTTTTTAAGCTCGATATTTTTTCCTCCAACAATCTAGCATATTATGAAGTCACGGAGAGCTGGTATCTTACTCACAGTAGTCAAGAAGCACAGCATAAGCTTTGAAATGGGCTCTAGTGACTCTAACTATATTAAGGAAGGAATTAGCCACCCAACGTATTGCCCTTTGGGCGGTTTCTTAGAACATCGTGTAAATAATATGAGTCACACGTCTGCCGAAAGTATGCTAATCGAAAAAGCAGTCCTATTCTACTATGAGGTGAATACCTTTGATCTCAAATGATTGATCCGCTTAAATCGAAAAACTATAATTTAAAGCTTGTGTTAAAAATTTCACACAGAAGAAGCTAAAAACTTAAAAGATAACAAACAAAAACCATATCATAAGTCAGCAGCCGCTTTCTTCTATTGTTCTCCGAATATCTTCATTGCTGAACTTTTTTGAAATTAAAATGACGGCGAGCATACAACTCGGCGCTGATTTTTGATGTGAAGCAACCACAGCAAAACGTCGACAGCATACAAATTTTCTAACACGAACACGTTCATTTCGTAATCATTAAGCGTTGCAGCAACAAATCACAAAGAAAAGCGCAATCAGAAATCGTCTTGACATTGACATTGTAAATTACATAAATTATTGTCTTGTTGACACTGTTAGCGACATTTTAATGTCAAATGTGTAGCGTAATAACAATTAAATTAAAATGCGACCACTTTGAACCACAACAAAAAGAAAAAAAACAAAAACAATAAAACAATAGAAATAATTAAAAAAAAAAAATCAGTTACAAGTAATTAGTATAACCCATGGTGTAACGTGAACTTAATTCTCTGGAGATTGTGACAGACAAAGCACGACTAGAAGGAATGCTTTTTATTTCGGCTTAAAAATTCTTACTTACGAGGCTATAATACCCTGCACAGGTGCATTTTTATAGCTTGAAAGGGTGTAAAACAAAAATCCTTTTTTTTTGGTTTGTTCGGTCCGTTTAGATAGCAGCTATATGCTATCGTGGTTCGCTCTAAACTATATGCTTGGAGATTGCAGTGATGGTTGAGATAATAATCTGTGCAAAATTTTGTGAATATACCTTTTCAAATAAAAAAGTTTCCGTACAAGGACTTGAGCTTAATCGATCAGTTTATATGTACGACAGCTATATGTTATGGTAGTGCGATCTATAGAATTGTTTCGAAAATTGTAACGATGCTGTGAATAATAACCTATGCCGATTTTCCTGAAGATAACTTGTCAAATAAAAATGTTTTTTCTACAAGAACTTGAGTTGGATCGATCATTTTTATGACAGCTATATGCTATAGTGATTCGATATCGGCGATTTCGACAAATGAGTAGCTTCTTGGTGAAGTAAAGACTTGTGTTTCAGGTCGATATCTCAAAAACTGAGGAAATAATTGGCGTATACCATATACAGACGGACAGACTTATGGAGAAACGAACATAGCTAAGGCGACTCAGCTCGTCACGCCTTTATTTATTATTTGTACATACATACTTTAAAGGGTATCCGACGTTTCCGTTTGAGAACTATTAACATCGTGGCAAACTAAACTTAAACTGATCAGGGTATAAAAATCTTGTTGTATATATTAACGACAATAAAAAAATATATGTTTTGAATAAAGGGATACGAGATTAATTTTTATTTAAGTTCTAATGCAAAATTGTAAGTAAAATCTTACGAGCAAAAACGAGCGTGTTTAGCGAGCTTCCACTTAAGTCGACTAAACTTTTTTCTTACAAAATTTGAACTATGGACAAAACCTGAGTCTATTAAAATATACTTCAGTCCAACAAAGTTCCAAATGAGTGAATTTCTATAAACAAACGTTTGTTAAGGAACACCTAAGTCGATTTTGTGCGCTGTACAGTTAAGGTTACAGACATTTCAAGCTTGTAAAATATAAAACTATTAGTTTTGAATAATAAACCATTCTGTTGATTCTAACTTACATACAAAGCAAAAAGGCTTGAGTTGGGCGAATAAAAAATGTTTAGAAAATATTATTGATGAGCGCTTCATAAAACAAACAAAGTTTGGTTCGAAGATCTCGTTAAAATTTCTTTTTGAGAAGAAATGTATAGTCTATGCCAAAATTTGTCGAGCAAAAAGTA